GATAACCGCACCCTGCAGAGAATTGTGACGACAAACCCATTCAAAAATGTGGGGGAGATCCACAAAGAGTGGACTGCAGCTGGAGTCAGCGCTTCAAGAACCACCACGAGGAGACTCATGAAAGACATGGGATTCAGGTGTCGCATTCCGTGTGTCAAGCCACTCTTGAACAAGAAACAGCGCAAGAAGCGTCTCGCCTGGGCCAAGGACAAAAAGGACTGGACTGATGCTGAGTGGTCCAAAGTTATGTTTTCTGATGAAAGCAAGTTCTGCATTTCCTTTGGAAATCAAGGACCCAGAGTCTGGAGGAAGAGCGGAGAAGCACAGAATCCACGTTGCATGAGGTCCAGTGTAAAGTTTCCACCGTCAGTGATGGTGTGGGGTGCCATGTCATCTGCCGGTGTTGGCCCACTCTGTTTCCTGAGGTCCAGGGTCAATGCAGCCGTCTACCAGGAAGTTTTAGAGCACTTCATGCTTCCTGCTGCTGACCAACTTTATGGGGATGCAGACTTCACCTTTCAACAGGACTTGGCACCTGCACACAGTGCCAAAACCACCAGCACCTGGTTCAAGGACCATGGTATCCCTGTCCTTGATTGGCCAGCAAACTCGCCTGACCTTAACCCCATAGAAAATCTATGGGGTATTGTGAAGCGGAGGATGCAATACGCTAGACCCAACAATGCAGAGGAGCTGAAGACGACTATCAGAGCAACCTGGGCTCTCATAACACCTGAGCAGTGCCACAGACTGATCGAGTCCATGCCACGCCGCATTACTGCAGTTATTGAGGCAAAAGGAGCCCCGACTAAGTATTGAGTGCTATACATGCACATTCTTTTCATGTTCATTCTTTTCAGTTGGCCAACATTAGAGAAACAAACATTTTTTCATTGGCCTTTAGAATATTCTAATTTTCTGAGATACCAGATTTGATGTTTTCATTGGTTGTCACCTATAAATATCAAATTTAAATGTAATGAACATTGGAAATACATTGGTCTGTGTGCATTGCATGAATATAATGTACAAGTTTCACGTTTTGAATGGAATTACTGAAATATTTTCAACCTTTTGATGATATTCTAATTTACTGGCCAGCACCTGTACAACTGTAACTCCACAAAAAAGATCCAACAGAAGACATTAAAACATGAAAAAAGTACAGAAACCACTACAAGAAAAAGGCAAAATAACAGAAAAAATGTACAAACACTGGACTCCAACAGCAAACATAATCCCAAGAATCTACGAAACCCCAAAAATACGTAAACAGAATACCCCACTAAGACCAATAGTGGACAGCCAAGATACACTGACATACATAACGGGAAAAGAAATCAGCTAAATCATCATCTAACTATTAGGTAATGCAGACCAACATTGAAAAAACAGCACAGAACTGGCAAAAGAACTAAAAAAAGATTATATACGACATACTAATCTCACACAACGTTACATCCCTGTTCACAAAAACACCAACTCAAAAAACCATTCAAGATTCAAGAAGAATTTATTCATCCACGACGGGCAATTAACAACATAGTTAACAAAATCAGATAGCACAAAACCTTACACAAAAGAACAAACCTCACAGTAGACGACATAGCACAACTGGTAGAACTGGTAGCAAACTCCACATTCGATGGAACAATATACAAACAAGTGAAAGGCTTCGCCATAGGTACCCATTATCAGCCACCCTTTGAGAGTTCTTCATGGAGAACCTAAAACAAAAAGCCATAGCCACTGCAAAACAAAATTATGGAAACCCTATGTGGACGACATATTAGAAAATAGAGGCCGACCGATATATTGGCTCGTGATATATCGGTGGCACAGTGCCAAGCCAGAGCCTATGTGGTGGGAACACTTCATGAACTTATAAATTATTTGAAGCCTAAAGGTGTCACAGAGCATTACGCATTCATGACAGAAGATTATATATATATATATATATATATATATATATATATATATATATATATATATATATATATATATGTATGTATATATATACATAATTTTTATTTTTTTGTCATTTTTATGAGGGGGGACCATCATATATCGTTATCGGAAATGATACGTTAGACAACAATAGATATTGGTAAAAAAGCCAATATAAAGCATCTCTAATATATACGTAATGAAACTTTAATATGTTTTCACTAAGCACAGAGGACACACAAACTCGAGCAATAAACTTAATGTAAGTGAAACATCAATTACCTCCTGGGGCTTGTGAAGATCATATGGAAAGACCTATAGTCTAAAATGATGACTTAACTGAAAGCAAAAAATGTTGGCAACATTTCCGAAGTAGACATTAAAACCCTAAAAATTAGGTATTTTAATAGAAGCGCTAATTGTTTCATTTTAATTTTGAATGGCGGTATTGATCCCATCCATTGTGGCTAGTTTACTAGAAAATTATTTGATGCATCACAACACTCCCAGCTTTCCTTAAGTAGTTTGCAGGTGCACACACTAACACACCACTGTTGTGCAAATAAAAAGTGTATAGAAAAAGAAAAAGGCTTGATATAGCTGTTGATATGTTGAGTGTATAATTATAAAAATGTTGAGCATAGACGTTTTAGCTTCATCTTCGGACCTTGTATAGTTGTTGTATAATTTCCAAAACAGAACAATAGACGAAATTAAGCTGCTGGTAGCTCTGCCACATTCAATCACTGCATTCCTCATTTTAGATGCTGGGAACATTTCCTAATGACTGCAGCCATTCTAAATTATTGAAAAAGCCAAAGAGCCACATCAGCTACAGAAATGGCTATTAACCTTGGAGAGTGATATTCAAATCCAGTAAGATCGAACTCCGTCCTCCAGTGTCCCTTGCGGGGAGGAAATGTAAATGTGTTCTAGCTGAAACAGATGGGAAAACCTTCCATCGTTTGAAGTTCCAGCAAAAGAAATCGCTGCAAGCAGAGGGCTCTCCACCCCCTCAATAAAATATTCAGCACCAAGTCTCACGAGCCACCTTTCCCAGTGTGACTTCGCAAGACAATGGACTTCCACACTGCTGGATTATTACTAAATATGGGCAACTTGCAAGACATTAACTCTTTTAAACGTTTACAAATTCACCACTATACAGAGAGTGAAAAACAGCCTGAGGATTATCTCACTGTGCACAAAGAACTCTAGAGATCTGATTTACGAGTGAGAGAAAGAAACATCATCCCATGACTCCTTGAGGAGCATTTTGGAGCCTAAATATGTGAAAATTGTGATGTCCTCTGTATTGCTGTTTACACACCACCTCAAATAGAATTTCTCAGCTGAGCTGACACACTGTCAGACCTGATTTGATTCTATTGTGGCGATACCTTGCTGTCAATCATTTCCTTCTCCGATACTGTGCTGTGGACCAGAGAGAATCCTTGATTATTACTCTTATCACTTTACTCAAGAGAGACCACGAGACCGAGAAAGGAGAAAGAGAAAATGAGTGGGTGATGAGTTGAAGAAGAAGACCAGAAGGTACAAAAGCCTGAAGTGAGATTATAAGTATGTAAGAATTACTTTTGAAGACCTTTGAATGGATCAAACCACTTAAACAGAGTGATTCTACCCGATTCTTCTGAAGCACAGTAGAACCAGGATTTTCAATGGAACCAGCAAGACTCCAAAATCTATTTTATGACCAGAAATTCCAGCTGAGATTCACTACGTTTTTATATGGTTTCTAAACATAGAACAAATCAGTTTTAACTAATTATTTTTGGAAAGCTGGGCTTTTTTAATGCGAAGAGGGGGTAGACCGATTTATCAGTCGGCCAATGTGTCCGGCCGGTATTTACCTTTTTTTTATGTATTGGCATTGGCCAATTATCTACTTGGTTGAGCCAACTTAAAGTGACGTGTGTATTGTCCCCAGCGATAGGGGGCAATATTTACCTAAATCATTTTAAGTAAGCACACACACACACACACACACACACACACACACACAACGACCCTGCGTGGATAAAGTGGGTTCAGAAAATGGGTGGATGGATCTCTATATTGATTGTTATTAATGATTCTCAATTATCTTTTCTGTAGAATAAACAGTGGTTGTGTATGAGTTTTACATGTGGATCCCCATATTTCTACACAGCAAGTCAAGTATGGAACAATTAGTGAGTTATACAATGTCAGCAATCCAGAACTATTCAGCAATTTTACCTCTGATATAACCTATGTGTGACTTCCAGGTGATAGCTTCATCAATCATGACTCCTAAAAATTTCGTTTCTTTCACCTTTTGAATGTCCATTCCATTTATTTTTATTGTTACATCTTTGTTGTCTCTGTCATTAAACAATATAAAATTTGTTTTATTAAGAGTTAATTCCTGCTGGAATATTTTGACAAATGAAAACGGTAATCCAATATGGCAGATAGCCGTTATTAACACCTCATAGATATTAGATCATAGGGCAAGAGTTAACCTTTGTACTGTGCTTATCTAAATGAGGTTATAGTGCAAAACGCAGAGCTGCAGTGTGTTCTAGGAACAGGGTACAACTTATCATTTGTCTTTAACTGCAGGTATTATTTACGACAGATTATAAAAGTAAATGTAACACGTAATATACTCAATTTTGATATTTTAACCGCCAAACACACAAAAACACGTTATAGTATGGGCAGAAACTCTACAAAGGTTAAGCTCCACTTAACCTTTGCAGTCTGATTAAGACCAAAGCTAATCAAGACTTTAGTGAACGATTTTTCAGAAAAACTCCAGCTGAAAAGGTATAATTTGTATGAAAACACTTGTTGTAAGGTATTTTCAATTGCAGTGATTAATACTGACCCAGCGTGTCACCACGGAGCTGTCACATTGCTGAACTGTGATCCCTAACTCTACTCTCACACATGCTAACACGCTAGCTCTACAACTACTGCAACCACGGTGACAGCGGTCCAACACCGCCATAACCCGCCGGAGAGGGTAAAAGGCGTCTGTGTAGATACACGAGCAGTACCGGTACCTTTAGTTTGTCCAGGAGAATGTGTTTTGATGTAGCTGCCCTCAGTCTTCTAGCTGCAGCCTGGGATGCCATGGATGCCGCCATGTTGACACGCAAAACGAGATGACGTAGTGGCCAGTGAGAAGAAAATGTTCATTGGTTGACAGCAGGATGGAGGCGGTCCTTAAGGTGGAAACACCCACATCCACTCATCTAGAAAGATGTGTGAAAATGTTTGTTCCTAATCTTTGTAGCTCTGAATTTAGTAAAAAAAAAATGTGTGTGTGTATATATATATATATATATATATATATATATATATATATATATGTGTGTGTGCGTGTGTGTGTGTGTACATATGTATATGTATGTAACTTTTTGTATTAATAAAGTATTAACATAAAAGTTTTCAGAACTGTGTTAAATTTTAGATATTCATGGTAAGTCTCTGATTATGGAGTTTATACAAAGGTTTCCAAGCATCTTAGCTGAATTTATTCTAATTCCACACTGATGCAGGCATTAGATCTACATAGGTTAAACATTTCAAATGCTTTGCTGTAGATTTACACACCTAACACTTTATTACATACACCTATTCAATTATTACCCATTCAATTGCTACTGGAAATACATCATCAGGAAATGGTAGCATTGCAGCAACTTGCAGAATTTTTACTATCAGAATGAGGACAATGGTGTATTAAAGTTGTTGTTGTTGGGTTTGTTTATTTGTTTGTCTGTTTGTTTGTCTGTTTGTTTGTTTGTTTGTTTGTTTGTTTGTTTGTTTGTTTGTTTGTTTGTTTGCAATGGCATGGTTAATGGTACCAGAAGGATGGTCTGAGTATTTCTGAAACACTGATCTAATGGGATTTGTACCTACAGACATGTCTTAGATTTTAAAAAGGATGGTCAAAATAAGATAAAATTTTCAAGCGAGCTGCAATTGCAAAGATATAAATATCTTGTTGAAATAAGAGGTCAAAGGAGCAGACTATTTTGAGATGAGAAAAACATAAGAGTAGCTCTAATAATCACCCCAAGGTCTGTCGATCTCAGAACACACATCAAAGCAGATGGGCTGCGGCAGCAGTAGGTGTCACTCCTGTCAGCAAAGAACAGGAAACTGAGGCTAGCAACCAAGCATCATTTAAACACCACAGCCTCCCTGAGAATTGTTGCTTCCAGCAGGAAAATGGCCAGTGTCATAAAGCTCAGATCAACTCAACCTGCTTGTTTGAACATGATGATGTGTTCACTGGACTCCAGCAGGCTCTACAGTCACCAGAACTCAATACAGTCCAGAACCTTTGCAATGTGGTGGAAAGGGAGATTCACATCATGTTTGGTGCTGTCATGTAAACGAGGACCAGAACCTCTGGATAATAAATGAAGAATTAAGCAGTTCTGGTGGTAGAAGAGGGTCCAACCCAAAACTACTTGGGGTTTCCACAGGTGTACCCAATAAAGTTGTTGGTGAGTTGATTTGCACTTAAAGTCCTCACAGTCAGTCAGTGACAACTGCTAAACTGAAAATAAAAAAGTGCTAATAATAAACACTTAATAGAACTTTGAAGTAATTTCTTCCTATTTTCTCTGGTAAATATCTTGTGAAAAAACATAAAGCTGCACACAAAGACACACATGCAAACGTTTTTACACTTGGCCATTAGAAACTGGGAATTAGACTGTAATTAGCACTCTAATAACAATCAGCCAGAAAACACCCATGTTCCTAGAGCTATCCCTTCATTTTAGCTGCAAACCTTTACATAACAAAAATTAGAAGTCCTAATTGCACTTGGCAGTCTATTCTAAGAATGTGCCACACTTTGCAACTTGTGAAAAATCTACCTTCTTTTTTTTATTTATTTTTTTCTAATATTTTAGCATTTTATGTGTGCATATAAGATGCTTGCAGTTTAATAATTACATTGTGGACGAGAGATTAAAGGTTTTGCTAAGTTCGATATGAAAGCAAGTTCTTTGTGGGTGTAAAACACACAAAGTTATGATTTATTTTCTCAAAAGAAAAATGGAACAATTTACTTAAAAACGCATCAGTCAATTCTTTTTTATCATAAAAATGCACGAGTATAACATTTATAAAATAGTTATTGGGCCGAGACTTATTTATTCTTTGCATTGTTCTGTCGTTTTTACCTTCCTATTGTGTCTGCAGCAGCATATTAAATTTCCATATTAGTCAGGAGAATCTGAATTATATTCATTTTGATCATGTAATCAACTTACATGTGGTAAGTCAACACTAAACGGCCCGTCATAGATGTTGGATGATGGAGCCACCCTGGCTCCATCCAGCACCTGTCACGTTGAGAGCCAGGGGAGTTGGACCCAAAGTGCAGATACCCAGAAAAACACAAAGCAGGAGCAGATGTGAAAGAAAGCATTCCTTTATTAGGATGAAAAATAAATAAATAAAATCCAAGCAGGGCACGAAGCCTAATAACCTAGAGACCTGGAGACCTAGAAGGGCAAGAAGCCAAAACCTAGAGACCAAGAAGGAGGAGGGGGGACAAAACAACGCTGACACAAACAATGGACCAACAAACACAGAAAGAAGACAGGACAGGGTTTTATACTCAGGGGCTGGGTGATTAGGAGGATTGGGCACATGTGATACCAATAACCAAGAGGAGCAGCGCAGGGCAGGTGAGGAAAACCCTAACTAAAACCTGTTAAACAAAGCTACTGAACTGAATAACTTCAAACACTTGTAGAAATAAGACACTGGAGAACTAAAGATAATAAAACTAATGGTCTAGAAGTAAGAGAGCGAAAAACACCAGAAGACAGGGGAGGATGATACCTAAAGAGAGAAACGAACTAAACAATCTACAATGACAGAAAACTAATGAAGAAAAGTGGGGAAACCTGGAGAGAACCTGGATGGGGTTGGGGACCACAGGGAGGCACCTGAGGGGGGATGCAGACAAGGAGACACATGAGGAACACAAGGAGACACATAAGGGGAACCTAGAGAGGGTTGGAGAACACAAGGAGACACATGAGGGAGACGCAGAACGCAGACCATGACAGCACCGTGACCTTGTGTCCCGGACAAATAACCACTGTACTCAGCTGAAAGGTGTTGGTCGGGAGTCGACTTAGAGAGCGTGGGATGTGTGAGCTGGTCTTGTCTGAATAGCTAAATAGCCCTCTCACGTAGTCCTCCAAAGCCCTCATTACATGCCACATCTTGAAAGGGCAAAGAGGGCAAACCGATCATAAAGAGCCGTGATTATGACAGAAGGAGAAAGATACTTGCTTAGAAACCATAAGTGTCAGCAGGCTGCAGTGGACAAGACAAGAGGGGAGGAGATGATGATGAACGGCCACAGCCAAGAGAGCTTTTTTTCTGAACCCTAATATGCTCAAATAACTATAAGTCCACATGAGAAAACCTTGGCCAAGTTTGTGCAAGAAGACCCCACTCTGATGTCGACTGCTTCATGTTTATTTGATCCTTTTACTCTTAGCTTCCTTCTTCTGGGTGAGAGATTCTGATAGTCACTGATCCATATTCCACACAGCAAAAATATTCTTTGGATGTAGCCAGTTTAACATAATCACAGTAAGAGCACAAATGAAGTGAAGAGGGCTACACTGGCTTAACATTTCAGCATGTTAACAAATCCTGTTGAATGTATAAACTGCCTGCCCTGCCTCAGAAGCAGCACGCTCGACTTAAGAATAAAAAAATCACCACGAGCCTGAGCCGAGCAGAGTCACCAGCGGATGATTCATTCCAGCATTCCTAAGGTTTTGTTTCCTTTATTGTTTTTCTCACAGTATATATCTACTCTTTTACTCTGTCTCTGTTGTTAGGTTGTTCGATTTCAGGAGGAACACATTCTGCAGTCAAGTGAATGTAGAACTGTTTAAGTAACTAAAACCCCCGTCAAAGGAAAAAATGGGTAGAAAAAAGAAAAACGCAATAACTGATATTTTTTATTTGCAAAACCATGTTCCATCCATCCATTCATACATTATCTGAACCCGCTTGTCCATGCCATGCAGGGTCACAGCGGGCTGGTGCCTATCTCCAGCGGTCAATGGGCAAACTAGCAGGGTACACCCTGGACAGGTTGCCAGGGTAACACAGAAACAAACAGGACAAACAATCATCCACACACACACTCACACATAAGGATAATTTAGACAGACCAAATAACCTGACAGTCATGTGTTTGGACTGTGGGAGGAAGCCGGAGTACCTGAGAACCCACGCATGCACAAGGAGAACATGCAAACTCCATGCAGAAAGTTCCCAGACTGCGATGTGAACCCAGGACCTTCTTGCTGCAAGGCAACAGCGCTAACCACTGTTATTGATTGCTAATTTGAACTAGTACTTTACTCATATTTCTAATACATCTGCAGTGGTCTGTAGTGAGAACTATTGCTTTACAAGTCGTACAGTGTAGCTGTTTCAGGAACTAGAAGTGAGCCAGATCAAAGTTGAGCTTCACACGACAGGGTTTGGAGTCTTAATTCCTGATATTTGGACATCTTGCCTCTGATTTGTTAACAGCAATGCAACTCTACCACTGACTCTGCAACATATATCCACAAATAACACAAGCCTGAAGGAGTTCTGCTATGTGGTGGAGTTGCTAAGGCGATCGGTTAGCTTCTACTAGTCGATATGTTCTCTGCTCTTTCAAGGATGCTAAACCAACAACAGCATTCCCCATCGTGAGACAAGAAGTGAATGTTAAGTGACAGTGTGACTTAGATCTGTAGATCTCACCCTAATCCTTTTCAAATCCGAGAGGCGGATTGTTGATGCTTATGCAGTGATGCGGGCATTCTCATGTATCATGTGAATTTCAGCAGAACAAATACTTCTAAAAATAATGAAGAACGTTTAACATTCAAAACTTATTAAAAAAACTTTCAAGTCATTTTCATGTTGTGTTCTGATTCTTTCTTCAAACAACACAAAAATCCTCAAAAAATTAATAAAGATGAAGATATTTAAAATAAATACAGGCTAAATGTGATGAAAACATAATATTATAAATTATTTAAACTGAAGCAAAAAAAAATTCAAACAGAAACAACATTTCTTCCACCTTTGCTGATTCATTTAATCACTTCATGTTTTTCATTTTATCATTGAAGTTA